GTACCTTGGCTTGGTTACCATTTATGGACTTCGGACTGTGCCTGGATTTCGATTTTTGTGTGTGTGGATTTGTGCACTTGTGCCTTCCCTCCTGGACTTTGTGACCTTGTGCCACAGTTTAACAGTACCAGACTCAAGAGAACTTTACATCTGCTGCAAGTGGGGCCTTGGGAAATCACATTAGGGGCTCGGAGTACCCCAATAAAGACCTTACACTTCTGGGGTGCACTTGAGGGGGCTGGAAAAGGACAACCGGGACCTGGCTAGCCTCCCCCAAAGTGGCCAGCCAATCCGACTCTTGTTCCACCATCTTGTGAAAGAGGAAGGAATTCAGATTGTCTCTGCATTAAGTCATCCTGCTTCCTGGATCTGGAGGTGTGAAATTCCCAGTGGGGAGAATAAATAGAGCCAGCAGCCCAAGTGTGGGGCAGACGGCTTCATCATGTCTTCTGGAGGTCTTCTTCTCCTGCTGGGACTCCTTAACCTGTGGGCAGAGCTGACCCCCGTCTCTGGCCAGGATCGTCCAAGTGAGTTTTCTGAATGATCTTGAGTCTCTTGGAAGGGAGGGGCTGAAGTGATCCGAGTTCTCCCCCAGGAAAGGGAAACCAAAGAGCCCCGTCTAGAACCTCTGGCTTGGTGTGGCTTCTCCTGGGGAGGTTCTTGAGATGGTGGTTGGCTGTTTCAAAGGTGTTTTTCAAGAGGCACCTGGACTTTGTTTTTCTTAAAGATGTTTCACTTCTCATCGAAGAAGCTTCTTCACTTCTTCAGTTCTTCAATGAGAAGTGAAATGTTTTCAAGAAATAAAGGAAGAAAGTTCAGTTGCAAAGTACCTTTTGGGGCAACCATGACCTGGATGATTGAGACTCTCCATCAACATTCTGATCAGGCAACCAAATAATCAAATTAAAACATCCCAGATGGCTCTTGACTGTTTCAGTATGAGCAGGTTAGGAGGGTGCCAGGTTGGGGAATGGTGTTAAGCAGTGATCCCCAACCTTTTTTACGCCACGGCCCGGTTCCGGCATCAGCTGGGCGCCGCGGCCCGGTACCGGCATCAGCTGGGCGCCGCCATCTTTTTTTGATGAAAAAGTGCTTCCAGTGAGCTTTCTACCCGGAAAAGCTCACCGGAAGCGCTGGCGCCGCCATCTTTTTTTGATGAAAAAGTGCTTCTGGTGAGCTTTCTACCTGGAAAAGCTCACCGGAAGCACTTTTTCATCAAAAAAAGATGGCGGCGCCCAGCAAGCCAGCGGCCCGGTAGGACTTGTTCCGCGGACCGGTGGTTGGGGACCCCTGGTGTTAAGGACTTTTGTGCTAGTCAGAAGTAGTATTCAGCAGGTCCTGACCAGTTCTGAAGAACCAGTAGTGGAAATTTTGAGTAGTTTGGAGAACTGATAGTGGAAATTTTGAGTCGTTTGGAATCCCACCTCTGACTGGCCCCACCAACCCCATCTCTTCTCTGCCTCCCATTGAGTCCCAGCTGATCGGCTGGGTCTCTTTTTGTTGCCCTGCACAGGAGAACGGAGCTGGAAAGCAGGTTAGTGGGGTGGGGAGGGAAGGGGGATTTTACAGTATCCTTCCCCTACCATGCCCACCAAACCACGCCCACCAAGCCACACCCACAGAACCGGTAGCAAAAAAAAATGAATCCCACCAGCTAGCTAATCAGATAACATTCTCCCCCTCCATAATTAACAGGCTTTTGTTATCTTCCTGCTGAAACTGGGCCATGTGAAGCTTTAACCATTCGCTTCTACTACAACTCAACTTTGAACAAATGTCAAAAGTTTAACTACGGTGGATGCCGTGGCAATGCCAACAATTTTGAGACCAAAGATGAATGCCACCGCACCTGTGTTGGTAAGTAGAGGAGGAGATCCGGACTGACCTCTTCACCAAAAAAGAACTGCTGCCTCTTAACATTAAGCATAGGGTGGCTTAATGTAACAGTGTGGTTCTCACAACAAGCTATGATTGATTCGATAGAAGGGAATCTGTGTCACTCAGGTTGAACTTTGGAATTTCTGACGCTTTCTGAGCTGGGTGGTTTTCTTGCTGTTTCATGGCTGAATGAGGGAACATGGCTAGAAGGGAGGGGGTTTTGACAAGAAGAGGAGGAGGAGGAGGAGGAGGAGGAGGAGGAGGAGGACTGTGGGGTCCTTGGTTCTCTCTGAGCTTGGTGGTTTTCTTGCTGACAGTTTCATGACCGAACTAGGGAATATCATCAGAGCTAGAAGAGAGTGGGATCTGTAGAGAGATGAAATGGGGAGGGGGAAGAGGAGGAGGAGGAGGAGGAGAGTGCAGTCCCTGCTGCTCTTTGAGCTTGGATATTTTCTTGCAGTCATTTCATGACCCAACTAGGGAACATCATCAGTGCAGCGGAGTGTGAGGTTTGCTCCCTGATTAGATACTTCAGCTTGCCCTGCAAGGCCTTGGTGGGAGTGTGGGTTCCTTGAGTAGGGAATTGTTTTTTGCTGGGGGTTTTGTCCCGGCTTATGTGGATGTCGGGATGATGCTCCATCCTGCCCGGTCCGTGAACCACCAAGGACCCAATTCTGAGGGAGCCTCTCAAAAGTTCAACCTCCCCATTTAGCCTAAGAACTTCAGGCCACCTCCAGGAGGTCCAAGGAAAGGAGACCTCTCTGGTTGTCCACCCTCTGCTTGCGGGAGGGTCCTATCTTACCCACCCCCATATATAAGGGGAAGGGGCTGTAGAGGTTCTCCTGCTTGATCAGGGGGCTGGACTAGAAGACCTCCAAGGTCCCTTCCGGCTGTGTTCTGATTAGCTGAGAGGTTACAGCCCAACCATTGGCCTCACCATTATGCCTGGCTTTGCTCACACAAGACCCTTGACCTGAATCTTTCTTTCTTTCTTTTTTTCCTTCCTTCCTTCCTCCCTCCCCTCCCCTCCCCTCCCTTCCCTTCCCTCCCTTCCCACTCTCTCCATCTTCAGGAGGTAAAGTTACTGGTGACTAATGAACAGGTGGCAGGCAAAGGAGATTTTGCATGGATGGCTATAATACCTTATACTGAAAATGGACAAGTATCTATATGCATAAGAATCACTCATATATCTAATATTTTCCTACCATTCTGTTTTATTTTCCTGGGGTTTCCCCCCCCCCTACTTTGCTCTATCCCGCTTCTGATTCATTAAATAAAGGAAGAAAAATTTCTCTGAGTTGCCTCATTGTCTCCAGCCAGGCCATCAGGGAGTAGCAGAGTCTCCCTGTCCATGCCGGACTTAACTCTGGAGTAAACCCTTTGTAGAGACTGAGTGTCAGGGATTTTCAGATCCGAGAGAGGCTTCCCCTGCACATTCTCCCTGGAAATCCACATGGGGGATCGATGCGCTGCCTCTCAGCCCCTCTTCCTCTGACATGATGTGGGTCACGGGTCAAGGTGGGGAGGGGAAACCCCCAAAGGGGCCGAAGGAGACAGCGGAGACCGAGAGGGCAGCTGAAACCAAAGCTTTATTGCAGAGAAGAAGGAATGAGCCCAGGGTGGGGTTTGGGGGGAGGGTCTCCGGGGTGGCCCAGGACTGAAGAAGGGTCTTTGGGTCAAGTTCGAACAGTACTTCCAATTCTGGTGGGTTTCCTTGTTGGTAATGCTGTAAAAACAAAGGTTCAGTTGTGAGGTTTCTGCCCAGAATTGAACCCCGTGCTTCTCCCTGCCTCATCTTAGAACCATGGAGACCCAAAGCTGAAATCAGCAGGAATGTCCTGATTGGGAGAGAAGGGAATCAATGGGGCAACCTCCTCCCTGGAGTTATAGGCAGTGGTGGGATTCAAGTAATTGAACAACTGGGTTCTCTACCCTAATGATTTCTTCCAACAACCAGTTCACCAAACTGCTCAGAAAGTTAAGAACCGGTTCTCCTGAAGTCGTGCGAACTGGCTGAATCCCACCACTGGTTATAGGGCTCCAAGTCTGAAGGTTTCAAGCAAATTCTGCCCCGGAGCATTTATTAGAGTCAGAAATGTGGGAGTGTCACCCTAACCCCCTGGCGAAGCTATGGACCTTCCTGTCCCTAGAGCTTGGACCAGTTTTGGGCTGCTCAAAGGATGAGCTGGACCAAACTTGGCAAAGGAGTCCTGCCCCGGCCTCTCCTTCTCCTGGAAGTCCTGATCACCTGGGGCCTTCTGGCTTCCTGACCAGGCTGGAGGAGAGCCACCTTCTTCAACACTGCCCAGCAGCAGCTGAACTGGTGGGCCACCATTCTACCAATGGAGGTTCAGGAGGAAGAGAAGTCAAGGGACACTAGGAGGGGGGGATGTGGAGGGTCCGTCTCATGGCTTCCACAGAGTGAGGGGGGTTATCTATCAGGAAGAGGGTTGCCACTACCACACTAAAGAATGCTTGAGCATCAGGGCACACCTGCTCTACCTTTGCTGGACACACGGACAGCTTGAAAGACCCCCGAGGAACCTTCATGTGCCCAGACCTTGTCGGAGTCCTGGAGACCCCCCACAGCCGTTCCTTTGGTCTAAGCAAGCTGCACAAGGGACAATGCACGGCACATACCTTACTTCACAAAGATAGGATCCCTGCACTCATATATGCAGCCGTAACGGCAACATTTCTGCTCCCCAGGACATCTCCAGTCATTTTTACACTCCCTGACGCAAGGAGGTTTTTGAGGGCGTGGGGGACACAGTCCAGGTTTTTCTGCAAAATAGAAGACCCCAAAATCTTTAACACTCTTCCCCAACCTGGTGCCCTCTTTACATACTCAGATTGCAAGCAGTTGAGAGCCACGGAAGATGTTTTACATTGTTTTCCTTCTCTGGGGTTTCAACCGGATGGCTGACGGGATTGTTCCTGTTGCTCAAAATCCCGATTCTTCTGCTGCATTGAGTCAAGATAGGTCAGCCTTCCCCTAAAATTGCATCTCTCTTTCTTGGGGCATCCTCTCATTTCTGTCTCCTGTTCAGCTGACACCCAACCACCATCTCAAGAACCTCCCCCAGGAGAAGCCCCGCTAGGCCAGAGGTTCCAGACTGGGGTCTTTGGTTTCCCTTTCCTGGGGGAGAACTCGGATCTCTTCAGCCCCTCCCTTCCAAGGGTCTCAATATCTTTCTGAAAGCTCACTTGGACGGTCCAGGCTGGAGACGGGGGTCAGCTCCGCCCAGAGGGTGAGGAGTCCCAGCAGGAGAAGAAGACCTCCAGAAGA